CCTGAGAGCGACCCATTCTTTCACAAATGTTTGTAGAAGCATACCTAGGTGAATTCAATGATTTGGATGGGTGAGTGAATACTTTTGGCAATATAGTGTATCATGATGTTATATTTTTTCAATATGTCCCACTTCTAGTTGAAACCAAGTCTTAAAAGTGTTGAGCGTAACAAAGTTTGCTTTCTAAATGATTGTATTGTTAATTTAACAAAATGCCTGAGCACAGATGATTTGAGGTCAACACCTGCAGTTACCTTCGCTGTGCTTAGTGAATGAGACATCACTGAAGACAAGACGTGGTCTGTTTCATTAGGAGTAGTTTTCACCTTGGCGGCAATGGAAGGACTTCTGCAAAGATCTACATGATCTATATGAATGCAAGCTTTAAAAACACAAAATGGAAAGCAAAACTTAATCAACATCTTGCACATCTGCTCTGACTCCTAAACCTATTACATCTACAGAGAAATGTATGGATATAAACAAACTTAGACATCAAAGTGTCTTCACAGTAGTGAAACATCCCTGAAAAACACTATTCTAGTACAAATTCAGTCATAGTCTAATGTAGAACTGGGCGATATGGTCAAAAATGTTATCACGATAAACAAAATTCATATTGTTCGATATCGATACATACCGCGATAAATGTCAAATCATTATTTCTTTCAAGTTTGAAGGCTGATTTTTGGTCCTGGGGGGTTAATTGCTGTTTTAAACTATCCTTTATGGTCGGAACACAACAAACACTCGCCAAACAGTGGAACATTTCACAAATCTGTCATGGGAGAGTGGGAGAGAGTGTCTGGTGAGCTGTTTTTACCAGCTGGAAAAGCATGGCTATTTTGTAATAGTCATAATTTAAGAAAGAAAACAGATTATTTTTAGCTGGTGACGAGCGCTCGGCTACCACGCTACAAATGACATCACAGTATTCAGACACCAGCTAGCGACAACTGGATTTCTCTATACTATTATAGTAGTTTAAGTGGTGAACCGCAAAATATCAACACCAGACAAACAGAGTCCTCTTTTTAGGTACGTTTAAACTGAAAACAGTGCTTTTGTGTCGTGTTTGATCTACAGTATCATCAATTCTCTGTGTTTTGGAGTGACAGAGCGCTGCTTCAAGTTAGCCAGCTGCTAAAAACAGCTAGCCTGGAAAGATAGCACTCTCCCGCTCTCCACTGCCTCACAGCTTCCTCAGTTTACTTTCGTTTAAATCAGGGCTGTAACGAACATGAACCCACGTCTTTCTTTCACTTTCGTTGCTTGGGAATGCACTAATACTAAAATATGACTGAGCACTGTAACAGCGCTGTAGTTGTGAGGATTGTGATTGTGATTTAACGCTGCTAAAGCTGGTTAGGATGTTAGTAAAGAGTTGAGTTCGCTGTAGGTCAGTATAGTTACACAAAAAAAAACATAGTATACCAAACAACAACAGCACAAAGCCACTAGCCACTATTGCACTTCCTAAAAATGAGGACAGTTACGCTACAGACAATTCTGATAATGACTTATCATCCATGAAATTAAATATGTCATTCATTAAAGCTAGCCCATGAAATCTTTGATAAATATTCTTCCAACTACCTGTCTGGCATCAGACGAACTCCCGAGGGTCTCATAAGGAATCTTGCTGTGCTCCTCAGGTAGATTACTTCAAGATTAAAGAAAAACGGATTTAGTTATATTTTATTGCTACTACATTGCACATGTTCAAAGTTCATAAATACAGTGAATTCTTGAATAGTATTCATCTTTATTGTCTTCACTGTTAGATAGCAAATGGATAAAACAACCCTAAAGCTAAATTTAAAAGCTAAAAACTACGTAAAAGTTATTTTGTAATGTTGTGATTCATAATCCGAATAATCGATTATTCGTTTCAGTAATCAATAGATTATTCGACTATGAAATTAGTCGTTTGTTGCAGCCCTACTGGGCAGTTACACTACAGATGAGTCAGAATGAGAACTTGCACACTCCAAGTAGAACCTAGGAACTCAAAGCTATTTAGTGTATGTAAAATGTCCCAATTCCAGATTCTCTGATCACCAACAAAACAAATACATCATTTCCTCAAAATTAAGCTGTTAAACGTCAAGAAACTTTCCTCCAATTACCTGTCTGTCATCTGGTGAGCTCTCGAGGGTCTCATGAGGAATCCTGATTTGCTCCGCAGATAGGGTCTGGAAGGCATGCTTTAAGAAGAATTATTATAATTTTAGTTTTATATGTTAAAAATACAGAAAGCTGAGTCACTGTATACCGTACTTCACTGTATTTAGCAGAAAACTGCAATTTACAGACTAAATATGGTCAGTCTAAATATACCCACACAACTGTCTTTACTACACTGACAAATTTAAAACATGAAAATTATTCCCAATTCATTTACATCACACACAAAAGTTCACTATGTATGGTTCAATGTTAGTAAAAAGCATAATCACCTGACGCATTTGATAAATCATTTAGGACACAAAAATGACCTTTGCTCTCCATGGCCAATCCGAATCACCATAGTTATAATTTATTTCCTCTCCAGCCTCTATGTTGTTCAGTGCAAATTAACATAGATATTTATATAAAAACCTTAAGTCTGCCTTAGTTTTGTAACGTCACCACAAGCGTAAACAACCTGTTTTAGCTAAAGAAATGTAGTTCTGTATTTGGTTCTAACACAGACCACTGAAGACGTGCATCAATCTGTAGCTGGCGTTACGCTCGTATTTGGAGCTCGGGATGAACAGACAGCTGCCTCGTTCTTTTTTTCTAACTTCTTTTTTATGCGCCCTCATTCTGTACATGGAAATACATAACAATGGCATTATAATAAAACGTAGTATGCTATTATACAGTATAATATATGCAGACAAATACAGTAGGTTCAACTAACACACTGACAAAGCCTGCTTGTTTGTGTGATTTAAGGACGCTGCCAGTCTAATGACGTCAACACACTGCGCAGTAGCATTAGCTTACACGTAGCAATGCTCATATTTCAACTCTTTATCGATCTCGTAATTCCGAGGATCCAGTGATATTCAAGAGAAGAATGTTCAAATGTAACAGCTTTGAAACATTTTTGATTACTACAGGATGCGACAGAAGCAATTTTTGAACTCTATTTTTTCCTCATAGAAAAATTCCATTTAGATCCAGAGTTCTTTATGTGAGCATAAGAGCATGGCGCCAACTACAGAATGACAATACAACTTCAGTGGTCTATACAGAGACCTATTCTGTGGCACCCGTTACGGTGTCATGTTTTTCTGATCTTCCTTTTTGGCTGTAGCAAAGCAATTAAAGTACATAGTGTGCATAAAACAAAACTTTGAGAAGAGCTTACTTACCACCACCTTTTTTCTTTCCACTGAAAATCAAAAAGGAAAGCCTTTTTGACATCATCATATTGTGTCTTTCTGTCCAGAGTCTCCTTTTGAGTAAGAACTTCACCTCTGCACTCAAGAAGAAAATCTCCTTTGTCAATGTTCTGTGTCGCACAAACTCCTCTCCCTTTGGGAAAATAAACAAATACATTTTATTATTTTTTTTGTCTTTAATTGGTCAGGAGTGCGTAGCTGGTCATGGAGATCTACCATCCTGCAGAATTTAGTTGCAGCCCTAAAACTGCACATGTAATCCAGTTTCAGAGAGTCTGCTGTGTTGGAGCTCTCCAGGGCGGCAGATCTCCAGGGCTGGAACTGGCAAGCCCCTCTCTAGCTCTTCATCAATGGTCATGCAGATCACAGAGCTGCTCTTAGCTGGATATTTCAGGTGGTGGTCCACTCTCATCCTTGCAGTGACAATGACGTGTGCAAAAACTCCACAAACATCAGCACCACACACATTAACATATCAGTGTCACTGATGTGCTGAGAATAGACCACCACCCAGATAATATCTGGACAGCAGCAGCCTTGTCAACAGAACCTGACTAATGAAGAATAGGGTAGAGTTGAGTCAAATCACGTCATTAACAAAGGAAAATAAAACGCTACAGCAAAGCATAAACAACATAACAACCCAACTCTCATCTGTAATAAAAGAAAACAAAGAAATGAAAGAGACAATTCTTGGCTTACAAGTGCGCAGTATGAGAGACAACATAGTGTTCTCTGGCATCCCAGAGAAAACAGCTGAAATCCCAGAAAACGTCGTAACGGAGTTTATGATCACCAAATTAGGAAGAAAAAACACTGAAAACAAACATCCAAGACCTATCATGGCGAAAGTTGAACATTACAAGCACAAACAGCTCATACTCAGCAAAGGAAGAGAACTCAAAGGAACAGATTTCGGCATCAACGACCAGTACCCCCGCGGAAAACAACTGGA